GATTTTGAGTTTGAGGACAAGAATAGATGTCAGTTCTAATTATTCTGTCTAGATCAATATCCTCTGGCAAATTCTGAATTGGAAATTCAGCAGGTAAATCTTCAACTTGCAAGGTTTGTAATGAATCATCCACATCAGAGTCATCATCAAAGCTGTCTGATTCAGACCAATTTTCTGTTAAGCGTGACAGAGTTGATACATCATATTCCAATATTTTGGCATCTTCAGTGTGAATAGGTTGTGCACAGCACTCCTTACTCTGCAGTAGTGGAGCTGATTGGGATTCATAAAATGATGCAATAATATTTGGTTGCTTTTTCAGAAAACATTTATTAAAGTTGATAACACGGAGTCCTTCCGTCCTTGTAGCACGACCTATTGCAACATCCAGTTGGCCTGGGAAGTTCATATTTCTACAGTCAACTTCTACACAGTCAAGGGTTAACCCTTGAGCCTTGTGCACTGTAAACGCATATCCTAACCTCAGCGGTATCTGTAGCCGTGTTGCTACATCACGTTTTACTTGAATATCATACACAGTGAACAAATGTTTCTGAATTTCAATGGTGGAAGCTATGTTATCAAAATACACCATCACAGAATCTTTCTTCAGTTCTTTAACTTTTCCTCTGCTTCCATTCACAAGTTTATCACTCAAATTCACTGTTAGAATAACTGGAGCATTCACTTTCAGATATAAATATGATGGAGCTTCACATGATGTAAGCTGTTTGTTGTCACCACCATCTGTGCTCTTATATTCCACTGATTCCCCTTAAAAACATACAAATGTAGCACATTTTAATGATACATAGCAGAAGTCATACAGTTAGTCAATTTTCTGTAATCTGGAACAACATTTAGATGTAGTTATTATGCATCTATTAATTTTTCCCTATATAAAATTAGATCGTTAGATGTGACTTATTCCCTAAAAATCATGATGAATGGACAAATCCCTATGCGTTAGTCAAGTGAGCTAGTCCCTACCTCGAAAGCTAATTCCGGGTTATTTGTAATCCTCTAGCTTTTACCTTTACATTGATGTGATATGTGAATGGACTAATTCCCATGTGTTAGTTCAGTGAACTAATCCCTGCTTTGAAATCACACTATCTGAATCCTTTTAATTTTACATTTGTATCAGTATCATAAAACAATTAATAAGTATATACATGTATGTAATTGCGGGATTGAGCAAGATTCCAGTTCCCCTTGGTCCTGGCCTTGGAAAATTGGAATCTTGCTAAATCCCTCAATAATACGTGTATACTTTAACTTTATAATAAACTCACTTTAATAGTAGATTAAATATATATAGTTATGAAATATTTCAAAGGTTTTTTTAAAGTATTAATGATATATCATGTAACATAGATTACTAATTAAAAGGCACATAGATTATTTTTTATTCCTATATTCCAAATAATATACCTAAAATCATGAAATTGAAATGATGTAATCATTATTTGTTATTATCCAGCCATTAGCTACTTTCTCAAATTGTCAAAGCAGAATATATCAGAAAAGTACCCCCCCCCCCTCTTTCTACTAATGTAAATTGGCAATCAAGGTAATAATAAAAAAAAATGTTAGTAAAAATTCATGCAAAATAATTGTTACTTTCAAAAATACTTCTCTTTAAAATCTTATCTGTCCATACATGCTGAAAAAGACATCAGATAATAATATCAATTTCTCTTTAAAAATATATATATATATATTACCTTATAATATATTATATTAATGAATATGTAAAACGGAATCCAATCAATATAAGGACAAAAGGAAAAAAATTAAAATCAAATTTTGACAAATTTTGCAGGTTGATGAACAATATACAAGAGTCCATAACGTCAACAAGTACATTGAGAGCCAGAGATATTGCATCTCGTTATGAATTGGTGCACAGGGAGAATATAGATCTTCGGATTTTAGGACGCTTGATCAAAAATTATTCCCTGCATCAAAAGTCAGTTATCCATTAAATAAGACTACCAAAACACAGGAAACTGCATATTCCAATATTTCATTCAAAGCAGCAACAGTTACAAAAACCTTCTCACTGGAAAATATTGCTCAATTCCTGCCAAAGTCATGCTTTATTTCATCTCACCTGAGTGATGGTGTAACTATTGGAGTTCCAACATCATATGTCTCAAATGGAAATGTGATTATAAAGAAAATAAGCATCCGAGATTCCACATGGAGACTTGCAATACGAGGAAAAGATGTTAAGCTAGATACATTAAAAATCAGCAATCATTTTGAATGTACAGAGAATTGTCTAGCACATGTATTAGATACTGTTGAAAGAATTCAAATGTGTATTGGCATTCCTATTTCTGATCTTACTCACCTCAGTTGTGATATTAACAAAAATTCATTTCTGAAGGAATGCATCTCAGAATCAGGAGATGAAAATTCATCCCAGATGGTTATGCGCTATGAACATTGCGACCAAATTCTTGGATGGGGATCCACTGGAAGTTCTTGCAGGACATGTCAGAAAAAAAATAAGGAGAAATACAATAATTGAAGATATAATAGACGCAGAAAAATCCATAATTTTACATGACGAAGATCAGAAAGACATGTCTGTAATTCTAGAGAAAATCTTTCCAGGTGCCTCCTCTGAAATGAAAATCCTCTTGGAAAGCCAAAGAAAGGCTCTCAACTGCAAAAACAGGAAAGGTATTAAGTGGGACGGACATATCTTGAGTTTATGTTTAATATTGTGGGTTAGAAGTCCTAAGAATTATGAGGAAATAAGGGACAGCAACATTCTCATCCTGCCATCTGGACGTCAGCTGCGAAAAAACAAGAATAGGGTGCCCCAAGAGCCTGGTATAACTGCATTGGATGTATGCTGCAGCAAAAGAAAGCAGGCTTGAGGAACATGGTTATGCGGGAGGATTAGTTCATGATGAAGCCAAGATTCAGGAAGGAGTTGCATTGGACATGAAGGGTGGTTATCCCAAACTCATCGGTTGGATGGACACTGGAGAAGAGAACAGACATGCTCAAATTCTAAAGGACAAGGAAGTGAAGACCACATTAGCCTCCCATGTTCTTCAAGTAGTCTTTGTGGGGTATACTGGTTTTCGTTTCCCAGTGTGTCATCTTGCTACTTCTGGTGTAAAAGCATCAGAACTACATACCATTTTGTGGTCAGTAGTTAAGAAATTGTATGATTGGGGATTTCAGGTTGACTTTATCATGCAGGACGGTGGTGAAGAGAATCGACAATTTATAAAAATCAAATTTTGATGAGGATCCAATGAACAAATGTTACTTAAGCAAAAACATTGTTGACCCCACCAAAGTTGTTGCACATGTACAAGATTATTCTCACAATATGAAAAAATTAAGAAATAACATTTTAACCAGTGGACATAACAAGAACTTTCACAAGAGACTTTTAAAGAAAAATGACTTTTTTATCATTTGGGATCATTGGAAATGTGCTGTGCTGTGGGACAGAGATGTAAATACTAGACCCATATGTCACAAAATCACCAATGAACACCTTAATCCTAACAGCTCTGAGAAAATGAGAAATCATTTAGCAGAAGACATGTTAAACGAGGATTTCCTATACCTAATGGAAGCATATCAGGCAAGCTTGAGTGATGGTGAATATCTCAATTCCTCCATACAGATGCTAAAACAAACAAGCAAAATTATTTCTGTGTTTCGGGATAATCGACCTCTTACCTCTATGGAAGATCTTCGGTTAGACATTTTGAAATCAGTCTTCAGCTGGTTTCAGGAATGGAAATCAGAAGTTTGACAACTTAAAAATGGTGGAATTCAGACATCTAGGACACTTATATCTCAGAAATGTTTAGAAGACATTGAAAGCATGTTACTAACCTTTAAAGAAATCTGCAGAATTCAACTCCATCAATTTCCTGAAGGCTACATTGTCCCATCCAGAATCAATTCTGACATCGTTGAAAATATCTTCTGCCAACAACGTGGTTTGTACAATGGTAGCTCTACAAACCCTACATACAGTACTTACTGTTCTACTGTCAACTCTATTATTCTCGGTCAGTCATTAGAATCAAGAGGTCGAAAATCCAATATTGGACTTGCTGCTGCATCCCCATTCACTATGTGTACCAAGGACACACTGAGTTGTTCCTCATCTAAAAAGTCTAAGATTTTACAAACCATGCGGTAAATTTACCGTAAAATGCTGGAAACTTAATTGTGAAAATAAAAATAAATTAATTCAAACATTTATTCATTGAGAGTTCTGAAATTAAATTTTATATATTTTCATGAATCTGTTTCACATTTTGCATGACACCGTTTTCATTTTGGATCTGCACTAGGCAGATACATGGAAGCTGAATGGAGACAATAGAACACCCCCCCCCCCCCCAGTCAGACATTTAAGTATGTTTCTAATAACTAATTCAGAAATGTAAACAATGAACACATGCTATATGTAACAATGCTCATGCAGAAACAAAGCAAAGAACAGATCTGTACATCAGTAGTTTATCCTACCAATTACATGTGTTGATCATGTTTACCTTTTGCCACATTAAAAATTGTTTAAATGACAGATATGCTCTTTTTTAATATGGATCGGTAAAACAAGGATCATGTATATGAAAGCACACTGTAAATTGTATATACCTGTTAGTTCAAGAAGGTTATCAGAATTGCATATGTCCACATCATAGTTCTGTGAAAATAGTCTCACTAGAACACCAGTTACAAGAGGTCTTTCTAAAGTCTTCAGGAACTCAATGGTGGACTCTGAAGCCAATCCACGACTTAGCTCATGAATAGCAGTAATTAATTTTTCTGAAATAAGATACCGGTACAAGTCAGTTACATTTAAAGTTTTTATATGTGGTTTAAAAATTCAAACAATTTAGAGGTAGACTGCTATGATGATCTTGTTAAAAAAAAGAAACCTTTTAAAGCTGTATATATTGACAAAAATGTGTTACATGCATTTAAACAATTTGTGCTTTAAGGAAGCTTTCAACACTGCACACTAAAGAGTTCTACTTGGTTTTATGCAGTTAGCCTGATCTGTCCTTAGAAACAAGTAACAGCTTTTTAAAAAGCTTGCCTGACTAAATCAATATCTGCATGAAGAATGATAAACCTTTTGTGCAATATTTTTGTTTTGAGAACCTTGTGTAAATGAAATCTTGATTTTGTTTAACTTTTAGAAGAATCATCTCTACACTGCATACTAAAGAGTTGGTATTCTTATAGTATTCTGTGGTTTTCTGCAAGGGGAGTGATCTGCCCTTGAATTTAAATTGATTTCGAAATTATTATAAAATCTATTACAAAATCATGCACCTTCAACATTCTAAAAGATGGATATAATTAAATAGTACACATTTTGCTGGAGTGTATTTTCCCCAACAGGCACGTAGCATCGTTTTTGAAAGTGGGGGGGCCAACCTAAAAAAAAAATTTTTACTTACCTAAAAAAAGTTGACAAGCAAAAAAAAAACGAAAATTAACAAGTCGAAAATCCTATTTTGGGGGGGGGGGGGGGGGGGGGTAGTGGCCAACTTTTTTCAATGCCAACTTCCTTTCACTTCCATTTTTTCCTATATTTCCTTACTATGTATATACTGTTGTAAAAAGTGGGTGGGCCAAGCATCTTTTCAATGGACATTTTCTATAGTAAAGGTAATGTTGGGGAAAAAGTGGGGGGGGGGCATGCCCCCCCCCTGTTGCTACGTGCCTGCCCACTGAAGTAAACCGTAGTAATGTGTTTATTTTTTTTTTTCTTAAAAGAAGGGGGGGTTAGTCCTACTATCATATATTGAGAATGAAATAACTAAAAGAAAATTCACTACTTAGACCTGTGTGGAAAGAAAAATTCAAGATTTTGCACTTCTTTCTTATTTATTGTGCGCATCTGAACAGAGAGATATATAATAGATCATGCATCTGGAGACCATGACTTTGTTGAAATGCGTTGTTTATCATTATTGGACTAATCCATTTATGGAATAAACCAACCGCGGGATCGAGAAACAAATTAGAAAACTCATTTCTTTAGTGTTGCATGTTCGTACATGTATACTGATATTTTATACGATATGTTGTTTAAAAGAATGAGATAAAACATTTATTTGTAGATAGAATTTCTGAAGCATTAGGATATACTTTAATTCCATAAAAGTTAGAACACCCATTCATACAATAGAACAATCCAAGGAAAAGGCGCGAAGAAAGCAGTGACATTTGGCGCGAAAAGAGCGATTCACCCCTTTCGTATAATATAAATGGACTAATCCAGTAGTATAGAAATGCAGAAAAAGGATACACGGACATGTTGAAACGGTGAATCACATGGAAAAATTTGTTCAGTGCAAAAGAGTAAAGGAAGTAAACACTGCAGTATTTTGAATCAGTAATATTCTTTTTTCTGAAAACTGTTTGTTTTAAAATGCAGGTAAAGAATTCCAATAAAAATCAGCTTGCATAAAATCTAGCTCTCAAAGTATGATCTATTAGTTTCGGATTATGAAAATATCAATCCTTATACAGCCTGACGCCGTGGCGTCAGGCAATAAGATGGAGAAATGGTTATTTACACTTAATTACACTATTTGTAATAAATTAAATTATTCTTAAGATTATATTAAACCAAAAATAAGTAATTGAATTTATTATTCCCATTATTTAATCTGTGAACATCGAGTTAGTTTATTATCTTTAAACATTTTTCCTGCCAATATAAGACAAGTATCTGATATTGAAAATGAATTTACTCTCGGTATGAACATCTTTATATGATATATCTCTCTACAAGTTTAAATAACACTTTTTATTGGTGTTTATAGCTTCCTTAAGGCCACGCAAAGTTAATTACTTGGTTTTCAGGCCTTTTTTCAAGAAATATGATGAGGGAGGGAGGCATTTTTTTTCTTTTTTATTGCCCCCAAAACATGATGAGGCAGCTTTTTACATTGTACAAAACCTCAAAAAATGATGAGGGAGGTGATTTGGTGTTTATATTTTATTGATTTAGCAATAAAAAGGGTCATGAGGCACCCTTGGAAGAGATGAGGGAGGGCCTGAGAACCAAGAAATTAATTTCTTTATTTTGCCTATAACTAAATGTATATACCTTCTGATTGCCGATACACCTTTTTCAAGACTATGTGATGAGGAATAAGATCTCTGAATTTTGTATTTGATATAACCAAATCTCCCGGATCTCCATATCTTTGGTTAGCAACTGGCTTCAGCTGAAAAAAATCTCCAGCCAAAACCATCTGTATGCCTCCAAAAGGATTGCTCACCCCTCGTACATGTCTGCAAACATATTCTATTTGCTCTAGCAACTTCCAAGATAGCATGGATATTTCGTCTATAATCACACAATCTATAGACAGAATTCGAGTTTTCACATCATGATAGTTTACATCTGTCAATATTTTATTGGTCAATTCCTCATTGGAATATCGACCATCCCTTAGGGCAAAAAATTTGTGCACTGTCACGCCCTGTATCAGGGATGCTGCCATCCCTGTCGTGCCAGTTACACCTACTCTTTTCCCACTACTTTTCATTGTTTGGGCTATTTTTTTGACTACATAGCTTTTGCCAGTGCCCGCTGGCCCAAGAATAAGAACGTTGTGACCCTCTGTTGCTATCTCCATTTTTCCCGTACTTTTTAATTCGAGAGTTACTTTGAGTACGAGTTATCTACAGAAAGCGACCAATCAGAGCGCAGCTTTTAAATTACTCCGGAAGAACATATGGAAAGAACTGTCGCCAGATCCAAATGTCGAAAAAAGAGGTTAGTTATATGACTAACGGTGCGCGTTAATTAGAATTTGACTGAAGAATATCAAAATTGAATCTATACTCCACTCACTCCTACTTGGTTGGCAGGGCAAGTTGCCCAGAAACTAGACAAAAAGTCCGATAAAAATTTGTGGTAGCGAATTTCCTATTTTTAGATTCCTCCCTTGTGTATTTTTATAGTAGGGGTAACTTTATTTAAAGAAGATAAATATTTCGTGACAAGCCCCTGTGGTTAGATTACCATTAACGTCTTTTTAAGTAAAATATCCAAGTATTAAACAGATGTGTTAGACTCTTTGGTATCTTTTATCTCAAGCTCACCAGGATATATCGTATCGACATAGGAATGGAAATAACCATTGTTGATTTAATACGTCGATATATTAGTGCATGTATCTAAATGTCGAGTTGAAGGCCACAGCAAATGTGTTCTTTTCACGCATAAGATTTTGCACAAATTCTGCTTCATATGAATTCAAAAATAGGCTTGCTTATAACGGGGTGCAATAGGTACCCATGGGAATTCCAATAGATCGTTGGAAACCTGTCTTCAAAGATATAGATATTGTCAATCAGAAACTCAAGCATCTTTTTGATGTCGTCTTCAGAGTACCTGCATGTGCAATCAGAATGTGATTTAACAATTGAAAATAATTTTCAATTGACCATGTAAGTTAATTTATGAGTTCCATTTTTATTAAAAAATCAGCTGTCAATGATATCAAAAAACATGGACTTTAATTTATCGTGGGGAATGGTTGTGTGTAAAGTTTTTAAGCTGTTAATTTTGAAGAAAATTCAGAGTAGAAATGTGCGAAAGCAAAGATATTTTCTTGTTATGTCAGCCCGCGCTCAATGTTGTGTACGGAGTTCAACAAATTGAATAAACTCCTGAAATGTACACACTTTTGATAAACAGGGCACGAGCTTTATTGTTGTTAACGTTTACGTTTCACCGGGTGTGTTCAATTGTTAAACTCTGCGCACAGCACTGAGCAGCTCGGACCGACAAAAGTGATGTGTTGGTTTTATTTTAGCACATTTCTACTTTGAATTTTCTGGATTATAGTTTTAATATTTTTCATTAGTACTAAATAAAATTACTATTTTTAAGTATGGAGGATAAAGTTAAATCTGAAGGTGTAAGGACGTGTCAATCAAACGCGTCTAGAAATTTGAAGTTTAAAAAAATATATTTTTATTAAATTTTAGTTTAAAATGCTATGGAAACATTTATGTTATTAAGTTATGGAATTATACAAAAAATTAATTTTAGAAAATATTAACATCATCTGGGTCTATGCAACTAGTAATTTTAAAGTAAACATTCAATTACCAAATATGAAAAATTTCACGGTAAACTAGTTTTGTGTTCATTCCACTCAATCCTATTCGCTGATATATTGTTACCTCTATGATCAGGTGCATGAAACAAAAATTTATTTTAAGTAAATGTTTTTAAAGCTCTTTTAAATATCTACCTCTGTTATTAATTTTCTGAAGTTTTTTTTTCTCGACATTTATTGCAAAATGTCTTTAAAGGTAAAAGTCTGCTTTGTTTGCAAAACCAGCAAATCTCTGTTACAATAATAAGGGGGAAAGTATCAAACAATTACATTTCGATTCATTTTGATTTATTTTAAAGAAGATTTATATGTGCAAATGAGTGCATGTTTTTAGACTATATTGACGCCTTAGGCATTTTATTTCAGACAATGAATTTGCATGTCTCCAGGCTAAGCTTTTCTTCAGAAGAAACATTGGTTACTACTTAGCACAAATATTTGTACCGAGTGTTTTAATTGTCATTCTTTCCTGGATCTCATTTTGGATTCACGTGGATGCAATTCCCGCAAGAATATCATTAGGAGTTTTGTGTGTGCTCACCATGACAACTCAAAGTTCTGGCATCAGGAATTCCCTTCCACGAGTGTCATACATAAAGGCGATAGATGTGTGGATGTCGACGGGACTTGTTTTCGTGTTTGCTGCGTTACTAGAATATGCTTACATTAACGTACAGACACGAAGACATGTCAAATCAACGTCTATGAAGGTAGGCAAGAGTATGCAGTCGATTACAACAATACAGCATGAAATGTGAAATTAATTTTTGTCATCTTTAAAAGAATGGTTGCTTGTCCTCTGCCGATTTAGGGTAAAATTTTTAGTAGTGATTTTTTTCATAAAAATTTCAAAATATTGGTTGAATAGATAAGAGGAATAAAAAGGGGAAAAAAGTCTTGTCCTGGAACGTAAAAAGAGTTTTGACTCGGGCTATTTTTAGTCAGTCGGTCCGGAGAGGACAACCAAACAATTTATTTTCAAAGATGACCTGAATCTATTTTGATAATAATTGTAGAGAAAAGAAATATTTTGCACAAATATAGAATTATTTTGATATTTTCAAGATGTCACTGCGTCATTTTAGGGCACGATTCGCCAATCCAAGGGGCCAGTCCTCACCCAAAACGGAAATCCTGACAGGCGAGCAGAGATAGATTTCTTACAAAGGGCAAGACAAGTGGACAAGATTTCTCGAGTTGCATTCCCAACTAGCTTTATTTTATTCAATATTGTGTTTTGGACATATTACCTTATACATCGATATGTTGTCAACAAGTGATTTTTGTTTTACGTTACAAACGAGAAACACTTTCATTATTACCTTACAGAGCTTTCAAAACAAAAAAATGTCATGTAGAATTTGTTACAGTTCAAATTACAGAATGTGTTTCAAATTAATTTCTTATTTTTATAGGATAATCAAGGCATTTTTTTTTTTATTTCTTACTTTAACACAATACACTCTATTGAGATGATAAATACACGTTATGTAAGTTTTTTAAAAGGAAATTCATAGACATTTAGTATAAGTGTAACATGAAAAAAGCATTCCTAATACTTTTTATCTAAAATAGCAGGTGTTATTTCACGAAAATATATGTAATCTTTCAAATTATATTTCAAAGGCATTGTGCTTTTCTTAAAACAGTACTTTCAATATTGGTTAAGATTGTTGAAAAATGAGGTCAAAATATGTTTTAACAAATCAAATTACAGAGGATTTTCTTAAGTGATACCACTTTAGAAACTAACAGCATAAGGAAAACATGTGAAAATGTATTATAATAGTATTCAACAGTGTACATTTTTATCATTCGATTGTTCTTTATCATCAAAGTTGTTTCTCCTTTCTTGAAATATTTTTAGTTTTGGTTTTTATGAAAATCATATGCATAACTGCATATTTTTTTTTAATACTGCACCTTGTTTCAAGACATTTATATGTAGCATTAGTAAATGAATCATGAAATGATTTCCATCCTTATTGAGCAACACTTTTAAAAGATAATTTAATTAATTTTTCTTGAAAAATATCCTCTCTAAGAATTAAACAGCGCAAAGTACTATTTATGTTGAATACAAGTAGATATTTTAATCAAGACTGGAATATTTTCACTTTAAACTTCCTATTAAAGATTCTCACAACGCTCTTTCAAATACTTCTATATGTTTTCCTTGAGTTCATCACTAGATAATTCATCAATAGATGACCAGCTTTTGCATCTTACTCATAACTATAAACTTTTCCCAGATGTATTTTTTTTATATCGAGAAACTTATTTTTTCATGATAGATAAATTTAATGTAAAATTCTCTTTCTATGCATTCGATCATTAAAAGGTTTTCTTGCACACGCACTGTTATAGCTTTTTTACACGCATGGATCAATATAATTTTGTGTTTTTACTCATAAGTCAAAATTCATTAGTAACATATAATTTATTATTCATTACTTCTTTTTTTCTAATGAAGATTGTTGGGCTGGAATCTATATGTATGTGATGTGGTCTTTTAAAAAGATGTTTGATTGTTAAATATTAAATCATTGAAAATACCGTAATAAAATGTTTCAAAGCTAAAGGAATTCTTATTCGTGTCAAGGAATAAATTTTTCATGACATTTTTCTTGAGAATAAATGCATTTTTCCCATTTCTTAAAATAAAGATGAGCATTCTGGTGAAAAAGAAGCATTTTTTCACAATTATATATACGACATGTATAATTAAGTTATGAGAATCTTCTCTTTTGATCCGTTATCCATGAAATATACTTATTAGGAAAAATTTATATCCCATAAAAAAGTAACAATACATAAACAAAAAAAAATTGCGAAATACCGGTACAACATACTTTAAATGTGTTTGTGAGTTTATCAGTAAATAGAGGTGAGAGGTCTAGTTGTTCTGTACCTCTTTTACGATATTACAATTAGGTTTAATTATATACAGAGAGAGAAAAAAAGAAATAAAAGAGGAAGTTTTACATAAATAACAATAATTATTAATAAATAATTATATTTTATCATTTTGAATTGTGTCTAAATAATTCATATTTTCAAAACTCTTAGTTATTCAAAACCTGCAGTTCTTTAAAATCGAAAAAAGAATAATTACAATCTTTGAGGTTTTTTCTTCAGCTAAGTTTTTGATGAATAAGTATTTCTGAGGAGAATTTAAAAAGAAATGTAATATATTTTCTGAAGGTGGAAAGAGTATCAATCATGCGTATTCCAATTCAGAAATTATTCAATATATTCATGTGATTTTCGATTTCATTCGAAAAATTGACAAATACGCATGCATAAAAGAAAAAAAACCTTTCTCTTCAGTTAAAACAATTTAAAACCAAAGATATGAAAGGTAAGGATTTAGAGCTGTTTAATTTTTTTGTATGTTCCAATACACTGTAGTTTTGGCTTTACAAGGAGCAAATATAAGCTAGCCATCTACGCATGTGCCTTCTTCTTGTAAAAGGTGAGCAATCAAAGAAATCCAAGAAATAAGA